AAGAGTCTCAGTTAAAACATTCTCCCTGTTACATTAGCATCTAAATATGCACAAATGCTAAAATATCCAACTAACTAGTGGCCAATGGATACTTTCACCAATCTACTCAAATACTTAAATGTTTCAGGAATAAGAGATAAAGCTCCAAGTTGCATAAATGTACATACATTTGAATATCTCTTATCTAAAATGCTTAGAATCAGAAGTGTTTCAGATTCTGGATTTCTTTTTTTGGATTCTGGAGCATCTGCACTATATTTACCAGTTAAGTATCCCTAATCCAAAATCCCCAAATCTGAAATGCTTTAATAAGCATTTCTTCTGAGCATCATGTAGATTTTGAAGCATTCATGTTTCTGATTTTTAGATCAGGAATACTCAACCTGTATTAGGAACAGAAACTCTTTTAACCGGTCTGTTCTTATTTAGAGATAACTCTGAATAATCTAAGATGATGGTTTCTTTTTTGATTTGGTAATAGAAATCTCAAAAACAAAAGTTCTCCCTAGAAAGTAGGTTAGAATCACAAAACAAACTTTGTTCATTAATATTACTATGATTATATCTATTCTTCTCTGTTATCTAGTCACTCTGAATTAAAGACAAAATTTTCATTTATTATGAGTAATTGGAAGGCCATTTTTAAGTCCACTTTTTTAAGGGGAAAAACATTTTTTATTAAATAGATTAAGCTTAAAAATTAACATTCATATGTCAATTCTCATGTTTACTAAAGCTCTCCTTATAACTATCTGCCTATTTTAATATAATTACTGAACTGCTTCTTTACATGTTTCTATTTTTGAATACTTTCGCATAACAGACAAACAGAAAATAACATAGGCTCTGAAAATCAAAAGATCAGGATTACAACTCAATTCTCAACACAGGCACTATCAATCTTAAACCCTAAGATATTTGAGTTTCAAAAGACTCATCTGAAAGAGTGAATATGTAAAGACCAAACAAGAAATAATTTATGACTTTGAGAGCTGAGTTCATTGAGAAACAGAATTATAAAGGGTATCTTCCTCAAGCACTCCTTTTATAATAGAATAATAATTGCTTTTGGAAATATAAAACGTTCTGGGAGATATTCAACTCATTGTATATTTTACTATAAAGTTAGATGCTAAGAACAAAAAATCGGTATACCGAAACAGAGATTAAAAGAACCATTCATTACTAACTTGCACTAACAAATCAATTTGTTGATGTTCTTTCAGAAATATATTTTGTATCATAAATTAAAATAGCATTTTTTGTGGCATAAAGCCTAAGAATCTAGTTATTATATAAGCATTTGTTTAGTAAAATGTGGTATGATTTCTATTTAAATTAATATATTTTTGCAATATCTTCCTAAATAATCTAGAACATTTCAAATTATTAGAAAAAAGTTCCAGACATAATAATTTTTAAGATTCTATTTCAGGAAAGAAGATTAAGAAAGACTGAACAGAAGGGATACGTAGGTCCAGATAAATACAACTTAGTTTTCACTTAAACAAGGTGTCATAAATAGCCATGTTTACCAGTGTCATTGGCAGGCTCAGATGTGAGTGGTTTGGGAGCTGGTGTATTTTTGGGTCTGGCAGCAACCTGAGACAGAGAAGAAGATGTGGTGTCTCCATTAACTACACACGAACTGGATGAGTTTTGGACCGACGTGTTTGCAGGTACATGGTTATCTATTCCACTAGTACCCTCAGCGGCCAACCTTAAAAAAAAAGAAAGCCTTATTTCAATGAGTTAAGTACAATTAACTTTTCACCAGAATTTTTATTAAAAATGTTTACTGAATTCTTAACATTCAATTCAAATAACAGGTACAAAACAGTAATCAACAACGATATGGTATGCTTTTACTACATTAAAGTTTAAATTACTTTCAGTTTTAAGTGTTATCTATACTGGCAAATTTAAAAAATACTGAAATACGCATGTGTACTAAGTCAAAGTAAATATATTCCCTCAAAATAATGTTTAAACTGTACATTTTAAATATTTATGTCTAAGGATATTAGTTTGTTTTAAATGCTCTGAAAATAGTTTCAAAAAGCTTATGAAATTATTATGAAACTCACAAAAGTCATTTCCGAGCAACTACTGTAATTTTATTAAGTACTAAAAAATAACCTGAAAAGGTCTACAGGTATTTGCATTACAAATTATTATGTGCTGGACACTAAAGTTATAATTACACAATGAACAGAAAAGGCCATTTTTTCCCAGAATTATAAAAATTTATGTTTGTAAGTTAACTGCAAGTAAACAAGTAAATAAAAATTATAACTACAAAATCAAACATTTTAAGTCTTACTGGCATGGGGTAAAAGTTAGGCAATACCATGCAAGAGAACAGGAGAGCTTTTCCAAACATATAGGTCACCCTACATCTGTTCTCCACAGCAACCTGAGTATTATTTTAAAAATATAAACAGATCATATCCTCCCCTGGTCAGTGCACTAAGCTTCTGGAAATTAGCCCAAGCCCGACCCCATCTCTCTCTCTGATTTATTCTCTCCAAGCTCCTTCTCACTCACCCTGCAGCACATATACTAAAATCAGTTTTACCGAATATGAAAAACACGATGAAGTCTTCAAGTGTTTATAACAAATTTTTATAAGGTAGTAAAGTTATGCTGACTACGAGATTAACAGAAAGGTTAAATATTATATTCTGGAGTTAGAAGAATTTGTGCAGTATAAACTAACTGTAAGTCAACCTCAGGTCTTTGAAGTTGCTATTTCCCCTGCCTAGAATGCTCTTCCCTCAGAACTCTACTTGTACACTTCATTCTTGGCTTTTTAATTTTAGCTCAAATAGCACTTTGTTAGATGTGATTCCCTGTTCCCTCCATTCCTGTCATCTCATCCTGTTTTAACAACTTCACACTTCTTGCAACCATGTCCAATGAGCTTATTTATTTCTTCTGTTGTTTATCATCTACCTTTATCCCACCAGAATATAAATTTCATGGGAACAGGGCTTTGCTGGGATTAGAGTCTGGCAACAAACAAGTACCCAGTAAGTATCTGTTGAATAAACAAATGATTAATGAATTTCACCCCCCTTTTCTCTGTCAGTTCTATTTTTAGAATGAGATGTATTTAGGAAGTTTGGGCAGGTAAAGTTTGAAAAATGCTACCAAGTAATTCTGATTTGTACAGTCCTCCCCAGTCACCCAGCAAGAATCACTGACTTAGGAGTCCAGGTAAAGGAACCATCTGAAGTTCTCCTGGTTCTGTAGAACTAATCTTTAATGCAAAATATGCTACTACACAATAAACAATGTTAGGTTTCCTACTGGTAGTAACTCAAGCCCCCTTACCCATCTAAAGTTGTACTTTAAACATTAAATAGACACTGTATTTATGTGAACCAAATACATGTTCAGAAGACATATTTATCTGTGCAAGTTCTATGATGAAAATCCCTTAATGACAATTTAGGAGTAATGCCATTAATAACTTTGTATATTAATAAAGGTCATACTTTGTTATGTACCAACATGCTTGTTCAAATGTAAAAAGTCAATCTTATAACAATCTATTTTTATAATTCCACATGTTATTCTACTATATCTACTATATTCAATCTATTATACATTGTATTTCAAATTATTTCAAACAGAGAGCTTCCATTAATTGTCATGAAATGTGAATGCCAGGGAGTTTTTGAAATGGCGGGATGGTTTTTGAGGGAAAGACCACAATTTGTGGAGCGTTTACCTTCTGATTATCTGTAGAAAAATGCCAATTCAAACACAAATATGGATGCCTACTTTTTCACCAAATCTAATTTTATTTACCAATAAAATATGCCTAAATATAATTTTTAAAAGCCATTTTCAATTATGAAAAATGAACCATGGTACATGCTACAACATAGATGAGCCATAAATCATGCTAACTGGAAGAATTAAAAGAAGCTAGTCACAGAAGGTCACGTATTGCATGAATCTATTTATATGAAGTGGCCAGAATAGGCAAATCCACAGAAACAGACAATACATTAGTAGCTACTAGGAGCTGGGAACAGGGAAAAGTGGGGAGTGATTACCCACGGGTACAGAGTTTCTTTTGGGGATAGAATGCTCTAAAATTAGAAGTGATGGTTGCACAATTCCATTAATTTACTAAAAACCACTGAAATATATACTTTCAAAGAGTGAATTTTATGGTGTATTATATCTTCATAAAGCAGTTTTTTTAAAAAAAAAAAAAACTACTTTTACAAGAATTGAGCCAAATGTGTTTAGACATATACCTTTAAATTCTGTGGCAAATTCTGAACTCAGGTAAAATTTAAAACTTCATTATGGGGGAGATACATTACATTGTGTTGCCACAAATACTAAAATAAAATATTCTACCTGGTAGTTGTCCTTGCTGAAGGCTCTCCATTTTCATGTAAGGCATCACCATTTTGCTGTATTTCTACTAAACAATAAGAAAGAAATAAACTAGGTTTTTATATACTTCTTGCTGATTCTTTTTCCTTTAAACTTTACAAACACATAAAGTTAGCTTACTGGTTGGAGATGAGCTGCAGTTTGTTAGATTTTCTTGCTCAATCACCAATCCATCAAGCACAACTGTCAATTCACCCGTTTGCACTATGCCATTCTTGTTTTCCAAGGAAAGTTTTAATTGTTCTTTCACTCTTTCCACTAGAAAAAAGAATATCCTAATTTAAAAGCTTTTGCTACGAACAAAAATGTTTAGAAATTAAAACTACAGTTCAAAAATTACTCTAATTCAGTACTTGACCGTTACATTTCAAAGACATTCTTGGCATTTTAATCTACAGACCCTCCTATATCATACCAGGACGAATCCCTTTCATATCTAGTAACTCCTCTTCTCCAACCCTACACCTTCAATATCATCTTTGTCTCTGTGCATATTATAAACTTCAGATAACATATCAGCATATCTAAATAGTAAGTACGGCAATTGCCTCGACTTCCTCTTCAATCCAAGGAATCACAGAGTGTAAGAGTCAGGTGGTCTGGTTACAAATTCTAGCACTGCTACTTACTGGCTGCCCCTTGAGTAAGTTTAAGTTATTCAAACTTCTTTATGCCTCCATTTCATTATAAAAAGGAGATGGTAAGAGCTTCAAACTAAAAGGACTGTCTTAAGGACCAAACTCCAAACCTACCCAGAAAGCACTAACATCACATCTGACTCACAGGAAGTGTTCAAGAAAAGGTAAGTAGTGTGACAATAGTTTATTAGTATTTGTTTTATATAAGGCCAAATACTTCCTTCTCATTATTAGGACAGCTAGTTCTTATTTAAACTCAAGATCATTTTACTTCAATGTTTATCCTGTAGAAAATATATTTAAAGTTACTAGGCAAAGGGTTAGGAGAGTGGGGAAAATAATGATCAAAAGACCCAAAGCCTCAACTAGACAGGAGAAATTTTTTTCTTTGAGATATACTGCATAGTGTGGTGAATATAGTAAACAATTATCATACTCCTTGAAGATAACTAAGGGTCAGCCAGACAAGGTGGCTCACACCTATAGCCCTAGCACTTTGAGAGACTGATGCAGGAGGATCGCTTGAAGCCAGGACCAGCCTGAGCAAGAGCAAGACCCTTTCTCTACAAAAAAATAGAGAAACCATGTGAGCTTGGTGGTACACACTACTTGGGAAGCTGAGGAAAGATGATAGCTCCAAAACAGGAGTTTAAGGTGGCAGTGAGCTATGATGGCGCCACTGCATTCTAGCCCGGGCAACAGAACAAGACCCTGTCTTTATAAAAAAAGAAACTACTAAAAGTAAACTTCAAATGTTCTCATCATAAAAAATTAGTATTTGAAGTGATGGATACATTAACATTTCATTACTCTACACTGTATTCATGGATCTTAACATCACCATGTGCCATATACAATTACAATGTTAATTTATAACTTTTTAAAAAACTAAAAAAGAAAGCTAACAGTGATCATTTTATTATTCAAAATGAGGCCAATTATTTCCATTTGATCTTCAGTGGCTTTCCGCAGCTTTTGAAATCACAGCATATTTCACATCTTAGATGAAGTCCTTGACTTTTTCTTATATTTAGCAAATTTGGGCGCTCCCCTGCCATTTACCAAATGTCCAGCATAAAAACGTTAACTAATTATCCAGATACAAAAAGACCAAGAAGGCTCGGTGCCTGTGGCTCAAGCAGCTAAGGCGCCAGCCACATACACCTAATGTGGCCGGTTCGAATCCCCAACCCGGGCCCGCCAAACAACAATGGTGGCTGCAAAAAAAAAATAGACAGGCGTTGTGGTGGGCGCCTGTAGTCCCAGCTACTTGGGAGGCTGAGGCAGGAGACTCGCTTGAGCCTAGCAGTTGGAGGTTGCTGTGAGCGTGATACCACGGCACTCTACCTAGGGGGATAGCTTGAGGCTCCATCTCAAAAAAAAAAAAAAAAAAAAAAAGACCAAGAAAAACCTGGAACTACAATCATTGGATACAAATTCTTAGCAAAAAAATTTTTAAAACCATGTAATAAAAGACAGATTTGGGGGGTTTTTTGGTTTTTTGTTTCTCTGTTTCTTTGTTTGTTTGAGACGGAGTCTGTCACCCAGGCCATAGTGCCATGGCATCAGTCTAACTCAAAACAACATTAAACTCCTGGGTTCATGTAATCCTGCTGCCTCAATCTCCTGAGTAACTTGGACTACAGGAACCCGCCCGAACACCCAGCTAATTTTTCTGCTTTTCAGTAGAGACCTGGGTCTTGCTCTTGCTCAGGGTGGTCTTGAACTACTAAGCTCAAGTAATCCTCCTGCCTTGGCCTCCCAGAGTGCTAGGATTATAGGTGTGAGTCACTGTGCCTGGCCTCAGAGCTGAGAGACCTTGTCCATCTAATTCAGTGATATATCCTCAGTATCTGACAAAAGGTAGACAATTTAACGAACATTTAACGTAAGTAATTTAGTCCTGTCCTCAGGGAATTTATTCTTATAAGGCCAGTTGTAGGTTATATTTACGGTTATTGACAGCAGTAACAACTCGTACTGTACTATGAAGGATGAAAAAATGAAATACTTCAAAAACAGTAGAAATATCTACTCAAATAAGTTGGCTCCCCACTATACCCAAAGTATTTCATAAAGGACAAGTAAAAAACATGAATTTATGAGAATACGAGTGTCCCAAAGTCACCATAAATAGGAAAAATTAATAAACTCATATTTTATAGTTTTTTATTTTTTATACAGTAGAATCTCTGTAACTTGACCACCCAAGGGAAGAAGCTAATCAACACAGAAGGTGGGCAACATAAGGACCTAGGCCCACTGTACTGAGATGCACATGTCCTTTACTTTCTTGTACAGCTTTTAACAGACAGTATCATATAATATACATATTCAAAACACAGTAAAATCATACATTCAGCATCACGCAAAATCAGTACATTTACTGATTTCTCATAGTTTTATCATTCTTTCTGAAAAAAGAGTCAATCTTATCTGTTCCTTATTCTTATTACTAAGTAAGTAGAGAAAGCACTCTCTACTGGCTACACCGCTCGGCATCCCTGGGCATTTTCCCACAGTGAGTGCATCATCACATGGCTCACAGTGCAGTTCCTGAGCCGTCTCACTTGCTTCTTCCACTTTATCGGCTGCTTCATGCATTTTTACCCTGGTCTGTACTTTGGTCAGTGTTGCTTGGAAAACTGCTTCTGGCTCAGGTTCATTACAGGTTGGCACCTCATCATCCAGTGCAACAAAACCTTCAAAATCTACTCCTTCGAATTCTGCCGCGGGAGATGGACCACCTGACAGGGACAAAACATCACGCTCTTGGGTTGTGACAAATCCAATTTTTGAAACTCTTCTCTATCATTTCTGGCTGAACTTTATTCTGAGCAGAAATGATCCAGAGCAGTTAGTGACGCAGTGAAGTTGCTTCCACAGACATGTTTATATTTTGGTAAAGACCCACTGCAGGAGCTGGCCTTGGTAGTGGACCATAAAAAGCATTTTCAATGTTTTGATAACGTCTTGGGCAAGAAGTTAGATTTCTGCAGTTGTAGTGTCACATTTCTGAGATGATTCCCTTGCAGGTGGCCTGTCAGTAGAACAGGCCATTTCTTCTTCATTTCTCAATTGACACCCCTTACCCATGCCTCAAATAGGGCACCAGTCATTCATGGAGGTCTTTGGGCATCAAGTTTTTGAATACGGTAGCTTTACTGATTTACCAATCACTTAGGGCTTTAGTTTTCCTCTGGGTGAGAGTGGCACAAAGCAGAACTGTGAAACATTCTTTGCAAAGTTTTCTGTTCTTACATTTGTCACCCTTTACGATGAGGCTCCTAACAGGCACTACCTTGAAAAAGAGTCTGCAGTATTAAAAATGTCATCATCAGGCTCAGCACCCATAGCTCAGTGGTTAGGGTGCCGGCCACATACACCAAGGCTGGCGGGTTTGAGCCCAGCCCAGGCCTGGTAAACAACAATGACAACTGCAACCAAAAAATAGCCAGGTGTTGTGGCAGGCACCTATAGTCCCAGCTACTTGGGAGGCTGAGGCAAGAAAATCGCTTGAGCCCTAAGAATTTAAGGTTGCTTGCTATGAGCTGTGACACCATGGCACTGTTGCAAGGGCAACATAGTGAGATTTTGTCTTTAAAAAAAAAAAAAGTCATCATCATTGAAACCTCTGGCAAAGCTCAGGAACTTTTTGATGAACTCTTCCAGAACTTCTACTGGAACTTCACTGTATTCACCACACAAGACTTTCTGGGAGATCGTGTATTGCACTCTAAATTTCTCAAGCCAAACACTTGATGCTTTGAAATCTGTAACTTCTTGGATCATCAGCCCAGATATTTGGGTATTAGCTACCCTAATTTATTTGATCCAGCTTAATGTGGCTTCATAGTCTTCACTGAGGGAAGTTTTCCTCCTTTTCTGCTGTAGGTCTCTACTTTCCTCATCTCTCCAAGCCCTCATGTTTACATTTTTTGGATTTGCTAACACCAAAATGTTCGGCTGTCTTTCTTTGGCTGCTGCTTTCTAGAAAATGTAAATGACCAACCTTTTCCTATAATGTCAGCTCTTTGAGTTGTCTCTGTGAGCCCATTATTTTACAGTTGTCTTGACTAACTGTAAAACTTTTCAGTAATTGTAGGATGTAACTAAAATTCAGACCAATCCTTTAAGTGGTAAATATCTTCCATAACACATAATGATAGGATGTTAGCCCTAATCCAATACGTGGAAATAGTAAAACATTAAAAAAAGAACATAGACTAAAGAAAAAATAATACAACCAAAGGGCAGAGCCCACATTTTCTACCCCTTGGTGTAAAGTGGACTCAACTGGTCAAGTTATAGAGGATAAATTAATATTGTCTATCACAGTCCAAGTGGTCAAGATACAACTTACAAAGATGGTCAATATATACAGATCAATCTTCTATAGAGTACAGGTAGTGAATGTTCAGTACATGAAAATTAGGTCAACTTAAGGAGGTGGTCAACGTAAGGAGGTGGTCAACTATAGAGGTTCTACTGTATTTATATATCAACATGTAGAGAAATGTTTTGTAAGTATCTTGTAAAATTCTGTAATGAATATTTTGTAAATAAAGGTACATTTGGCTATAATTTCCCATTTTCTCTATGTATGGAGGAATGCATGTG